GTGGACGTTATTCCTCCATGGTATAGATATGTAGATGATGTTCTTTGTCCTTGGCCTAGAAACAGTGACCCATTGGAATTTTTAGACAAGCTTAATGATATTGTCCCAAGTATCACATTCAAAATTGAAAGAGAAATAAATGGATCCCTTCCATTCCTTGATATGCTTATTATGAGAAATGGCCATAACTATAAATTTAAGGTATACAGAAAGCCCACACAGGTAGACAGTTTCATTCACTTTTTATCAAATCACCTGGAGTCTACCAAAATGTCAGTTTTTTCTGCTATGTTCTTAAGATGTCTGCGTATTTGTGACTCTGAATTTATTGAGTACTAACCGAATTACCCGCGCCTTGCGCGGAACATTTTCTGTCGACCATAAGAACATAAGAACATAAGAATGGAGGAAACTGCAGCGGGCCTATTGGCCCATATTGGGCAGTCCGTTTACACCCAAAGCCCATTGCTCATATGAGCATCCAACCTATGTTTGAAGCAATTCAGCGTATTCGAGTTAATGATGATACCTGGCAACTTGTTCCACTCACCCACTACTCTGTTTCCAAACCAGTGTTTACCTATTTCACGCCTAAATCTAAATTTGTCTAATTTAAAACCATTGTTACGAGTTCGCTCCTGGTTGGATAGTTTGAGTACCTTTGTAATGTCCCCTTTGTTTAGCCCTGCCTTCCACTTATACACCTCTATCAGGTCGCCCCTCGCTCTACGTCTCTCAAGGGAGTGCAAATTAAGATGCTTTAACCTGTCTCTATACTCAAGGTTCCTAATGCCCGGCATTAGTCTTGTCATTCTCCTCTGAATTCTTTCCAAGGATTCTATATCCATTCTGTAATACGGTGACTAGAACTGAACTGCGTAATCCAGGTGTGATCTCACAAGAGCAAGATACAGTTTTGGGATGACCTCGCTAGTCTTGTAACTAACACTCCTTAATATGAACCCAAGTACTTTATTAGCCTTGTTACGAGCAAAAACACATTGTTTACTTGGCTTAAGGTTCCTACTTATCATTACTCCTAAATCTCTCTTGCAGTCGGATTTCTCTATGGCATCGTTGTTCATCTGGTATCTGGTTTCCCTGTTTACATCTCCTATACTGAGTACTTTACATTTGTCGACGTTGAATTTCATCTGCCATTTTTCAGACCATTCGAAAAATTTGTTTAGATCTTCCTGTAGTTTTGCCGAGTCCTCGTCAGATTTGATAACACGTCCTATTTTAGTGTCATCAGCAAATTTACTTATGTTGCTGTCAATGCCGATATCTATGTCGTTTATGAATATAATAAATAATAATGGTCCAAGTACTGAGCCTTGGGGAACTCCACTTGTGACGTTGCTCCAATGGGACTTAGTGCCGTTAATGCTCACTCGCTGTTTCCTGTCCTGTAACCACGCCCTATTCCATTTAAGGATGTCACCTTTGATGCCATGAGCTTCTACCTTTCTAATTAGTCTTTCGTGGGGGACTCTGTCGAAGGCTTTGCTAAAGTCGAGATATACCACATCATAATTTTGCCCCTCGTCCACCGATTCGAAAACTGATGAAAAGAATGTTAATTGACTAGTTAGGCAAGAACGTCCGCTTGTGAAGCCATGCTGGGAATCATTGATCAATCTCCATACATGGGAATCCTTCATTTAGGGGACAACATGAGCCATGGATCATGTGTTTCATGACCAGATCATGGAGTTCTTTATCTTGCTCTTTTTTAGGGATTTCTGCAGAAATTGCCAAATCATATTCTTCGGCTTTGATTTTGTGCTCTGGAGCTATCCAGAAAAGAAAGTGTGCATGGGGTAAACCTCTCTTCTGGTACTCAATGGTGTACAGCCATGCTTGCAATGTACCAAATATTCCCTTCTTCATATGTTCCATAAACTTTTTCACTTTTAATCTGAAGACTCTCGCAACAATATATGGTCGATCATGACTCTCTTATCCGGGAGCCAAATTATCGACAATTTCGGGCCAACGTGGATTACATGTCATAGTGATAAGGTAATCTGCTCTTCCGTAGTGTCTCACAAAGGCCATCGCATCTGACCTTTCTTCATGAAGGTATCGAGGACCACCAGTATAGGTCGCTGGAAGCACAATGCGACGACCAACTTGATTTGGATCTCCATCAGCAGCAAGCAGACTATCACGTAAATCTGAGTAATTTTCAGCACGGAGACTTTGCTGTTCTCTTCTCAAAGACTTCAATCTTTCAGTTTCTATTTTGCAGTATGCATCCACCAAGAATTGCTGGAAGAGTCGCCTTCCAAGCAAGAGGTAGTTCCCTTCTCTGCACATAATATGGAAAGAGTAAAGCTGCAACTGTGTGACTTTCCGACCATTTCTCCCTTGCAAATATATGTGGTAGCCGTCTGTTCCATATGGAAAAAACAATGGATACATCAAAGGATCATAGGATCGATGTAGCTCTGAAATTCTCCTCAATCCACCTTGTTTCAACTGAAGAACAATATCTCTATTTTCTGTAGGCTCATTTGACATTAAAATTGCAACTTCAGCCCCTGTTGGTGCATTAAAACGCCGAGCATGTTCTCCCTGGGCACGCTTATTTTCCCAAATTACAAACCTAACCTAACCTAACCTAACCAAAGTGTCCAAAAAGTAAACTTGAATGTATCTTGCTCTTCTATCTTCAGGAGGCATCAGTGACCCAAGTTGATGGTAAATTTGACCTTGGATTCTTACAGATGGATTCCAACCTTGGACAGATGCATCTTTGTGACCAAAGCTGGTCATGGCAAACAGAGAGTTGTACTCCCTGAGTCTTGACAAAAAATGTTTGCTGAATTGACTTTCCCCAGTGAACACTTCTTCAAATAACTGAGGCAGAGGTGGAAATTGATCCAGTGTAACCTTTCCATTTCCACAGCACATTCCTAGTGATTCTCCAGTAAATTTCTCAGCGCCACACTGACAAAGTTTGGTCATTTCTCCAATTGCAGCCTTGTTACATGGATCATTTTTGTCATACAGTAATGCAGAACGTTAAGCATTTTGAATTTCACGTTGTCTTAAATTTTGATACCTCTTTCTATCAGCAATCAAACGCTGTTGTCTCTCTTCTTCAGACTCATTTCTTCTTGCAACTATTTGGCGAAATCTATCTTGCTCCTCTCTTTCTTGATGCTCACCCAAGATTTCATTTTGCCGAGACTCTGTTTGCCTCTGTCTTTGCCTAGAAAGTCGTTCTTCCCTTGCATCACAGCTTTCAGATTGACGACGAAGCCTAACATCCTTTGTGCATGTGGAGTATTTGCATAACTGGACTTTCTTTTCCGTGGCATAATGGATGTCTGAAAAAAATAAATAAATGAAAATGTTAAAAAAGTAGAGGCATTAACTAATAATTTTTCTTGCCATAATTCTAGTGATGTTTTGTCATAGATAAAATGTCTAAATTTGCCAAATTTTTCTATAAAAGAGAGGTAATTTTTTTTGTTGTTTTACGTTTAATTAATAGAAAAAAACCTTGATAATAGAGGTTCCAATACTCAAGTTATGGGCTTCCAAAATTTTCAATATAGGGGGGTTTAGCCCCCATTAGGGTGTCTTAATATTATTGAAATTTGCTGATATTTTGTGAATGGGCATCATTTTTGGTCATTTACCTATGGTTTAAATTTCATTTAAATCGAAGGGAAAAAAATTTTCAGTGGGGGGTTTGTGCCCCCCGGGGACCCCCTTTGATCAAAATGAAATATACTTATCCAAGTACCCTGGGTAATGTAGTTTCAGATTATATATGGTTATGGGGGTCTATCTCCAAAACCCTAGGAGGAGTTCGTGAACAAACAGACAGAGGCTACAACTTTATATATATAGATGAATTGAAACACATTCGTTCCATTGCACAGAAACTCGGGTACCCTTCTGTGTTTGTTGATCGTTCTTTTAAAAGGGCTAAACAACCCTTTCATTCCTCTCAAACCAGACAAATTCCTACACTTAAGAATATTTTGACTGCCCTATCGTAATGAATTTATCCCGTTAGTTCGGTCCCTCAAGCTTCTAAATATTAATGTTGTTTTCAAGTATGACTCAACCATTACCAATATGTTAATAAGGAATAGCCCAATTTTGAATGTAAACGGAAGTGTTTATTGTATTCCATGTAGCAAATGTAATTGTAATTATGTAGGACAGACAGGAAAAACACTGCAGCTCAGAATCAAACAACATAAATATAATATCAGAACAGCATCTGAAAGCAGTGCCTTGTTCGTTCATGTTAGGAATAATAATCACCCTATTGCTTGGGAAAAAAGCTTAGAAGTATTTAAATCATCTTGTGTCACAGAAAGACTTCTGGTTGAAGCTAGTTTGATTAAGGAATTAAAATCAATAAAGCTTAGTGATGGTCAGTTCAAAACTGATAATATGTTACATAAATTTATTTGGCAGTGGCCCAAGGTTAAAAATGCTTTGAAAACCTTTGATCTAGATGTATGATAGTTATTTTGTGGGTCCCTTATTTTTGACCTGACCTGACTAGTCACGTCACCCCTCTTCTCTTAAGCTCCTCTACGTGTGTGTTGGTGTGGGGATTAGTGGATGACATCATTATGACCTGACCTCATGTTTTTCAAGTCACCCTGTATATTTAAACCTCTCTCTGTCCATGTAATCCAGTTGCCTCTTCAGATGTCTTGAATAAAGACGAAAGCTAAGGTGCTCCGTTGTTTCCCTTTTCCCGTGTGATTTTATCAAGATTTATCTTATCCACGTTTTCATTGTGGATTTACATGAAATATATATATATATATATATATATATATATATATATATATATATATATATATATATATATATATATATTTATTTATTTATTTATATATATATATATATATATATATATATATATATATATATATATATATATATATATATATATATATATATATATATATATATATTTTTTTTTTTTTTTTTTTTTTTTCTTAATTTCCTGAAAACAGTTTACAGATACAGTAGCCTGCCATCTGCTAAGGTCAAAATGGCTCAGAATTCATCAGACATCGAACTCGTCATGTTGACGATTGATGATTATGAAGAAGTGGTGCAGTTGTATGGCGAACAATATCTGAAGAGGAATCCTCTTGTAAGATATTTAGATTAAAGACCTTTCACAAGAATGTCTTGTCTTTACGTTATTAATATTTTGTGATAATCTTCTGCAAATTATGTTCTACAAAGTTCAATTCTGAAGTTATATAATGATTATCTATTATCTTTAAATAGCCAACAATGCAATTTCAGCTTTAAATTCCTTAAGTGTTGAAATCCTGTTTTAAAACATACAATTGGCTCCACTCCTGCGTTTACCACTCAGTGTTGCTAATGCTCTCTTTCCCTTCGGTGTGAACCCTGAACTGTGAAGTGTGAATTCGAATCATTTGCTAGTGAGCGTGAGGGACAGAGGGTGGGGGGGGGAGTGTGTCGGGTTTATGTCTTCCTGGAGGGAGGGGGGTGCAATACTGGGGGTGAGAAAGAAGGTGAACAGTATCTCAGCTGGGAGAAATTGTAATGCAGAATAACACTTTGACAACACATACAGGGTTTCTTCAGCTGAGTGTAATCGTCTAACATTAGCCAGATGAAAATACTACAATTACACTAGTATGAGAGGGTAATGAATACTTGTTCAAAGTAAAGTGTTCCTTTGCAAAAGCGGGCATTTATGAACAAATGTATTATGGATACGTTTGAATATATCTTGTATATGCAGCAAAGTTCTGTTTAAACCCTACGAGATGGAACTTCCCGGTTTAATAAAATCGCCTGGCTGTAGCCAGAATAAATTAGATAAGAAGACATAGTACTTAAGGGATGAATTAGTTATCAAAATAATCAGGAAGTGGACAATGCATACTTATTGTAACACAAACTTGATATGAACAAAATAGTTCAATCACCAGCTGTCCGATATATAATCAAGAAACTCCATATTCCAGTCAGTCAATCAGTGCGATTAAATGGGTAAAAAGAAAATTTACATTAATATTATTATTATTAAAGATATGTAAATTATGATACAAAGTTGTTGCTTAAAGGTCTTAAATAATAAAGTTTCTACTAGACGTGAACTTAGTTGCTGGTGTGGGAGTTATTAGTCTTAGCTACTCGATCACATGTTTAAGTGTTTGTGAGGGTATTATTGAGTGTGTGACTTATTCACACACATTATAGGACCAGGGACTTAAAGGAAGTGTTATAAAATAAATTGGCTGGAGATGAGGTGTGGTACCGTGTGGTTAAACAAAAATCAAAGAAATTAAACATCAATTTACTATAAAACAATTACAACATACTTATATATATATATATATATATATATTATAAAATCATACGTACACAAACGAGTAATTTGGGTAAATTTTTGCTTTAGGACATGAGCCCCGAGGAGTTGACCAATATGTTTTGCCAGTGTACTTGGGTGTGTTTTAAAGGAATCTGACCTTCATTTTTGACGGAAATAGCTTTCCCCCCCCCACCCCTTCCCCCAACAATAATGGGGGAGAGCCTAGGAAATCGGGGTTTTTGGGTGGTGGGAGAAAACGAAAACGAGTCATCTAAGTTATCAAAACCTAACCTAACCTAATCCCTAACTGGGGCCACCGCCCCCGGACCCCCGGTAGGCCTAGCTTAAGCGAACGTAAATGTTTCAGTAGTTAAAAACATTTGGGTGCGCCGTGTCCAAAAGTACAGTACGAATTGGATAGAATGATCGTCTTTCTCGTAAAACTCAGCAATAAACTAAAAATAATCGAGGAGCACAAATGACAACCAACATCCACCACGTCTATTGTGAAACTGCTCAATGAAATTAACCTGGCTGCTTTCATTGAAAAAATTCAGATGCGATTGGTCGAAAAAAATTCGCATGATCAGCCTGTTGCGCAGGCGTGATGCGGCGATAAATTTCCTCAAAGACTGAAAACTACGTAAAATTAAATAAATTCAATTGTGTCGCTATTACCAATTCCGCCATATACTGTATATATATATATATATATATATATATATATATATATATATATATATATATATATATATATATATATATATATATATATATGAGGTCAGGTCATAATGATGACAACCACTAATCCCCACACCAACACAACCGTAGAGGAGCTTAAGAGAAGGGTGGTGACGTGACTAGACAGGTCAGGTCAGAAAAAAGGGACCCCACAAAATAACTGTCATACATCAAGATCAAAGGTTTTCAAAGCAGTTTTAACCTTGGGCCACTGACAAATAAATTTATGTAACATATTATCAGTTTTGAACTGACCATCACTAAGGTTTATTGATTTTAATTCCTTAATCAAACTAGCTTCAACCAGAAGTCTTTCTGTGACACAAGATGATTTGAATACTTCTAAGCTTTTTTCCCAAGCAATGGGGTGATTATTATTCCTAACATGAACGAACAAGGCACTGCTTTCAGATGCAGTTCTGAATTTATTGACGACGAATATATATATATATATATATATATATATATATATATATATATATATATATATATATATATATATATATATATATATATATATATATATATATATATATATATATATATATATATATATATATATATATATATATATATATATATATATATATATATATATATATATATATATGGGGTTCAAAATGCTCGGAATAGCGGGATCTAAATGTTTCAGTAGTTTACAACTTTCGGGCGCGCTATGTCCTAAAGTAAAATAATACCGTAATTTTAACCCGACAATGAGACCTAAACTACCGATTGGTTCGTTCGTCAATTGGAGCTGTTTTTTTTCTTTTTTTTTGCACATGTAGGAAGCTTAGTTCACAGACTGACGCTTTGTGTTTGCTGTCCTCACTCTTGACCGTCATTAGTAACTGCCGAATTGATTAACAATTTTTGGAATGCCACTGGGTGTATACCATTAACATAACACAAAAAGAGACAGCTCCCAGCCAGGCCACAACACCGGTCTCTAGGACAGCCACCTCTGCTCCAGCACACCCGTTAACTGCGAAGAAAGTCAACCCTACTTAATACCTAGCAACAACCACCATGCCCCCTTGATTTGAAATAATACTATGTCCACAACTTAAATACCACACTGGAGACATACCTCTTTCGTAATGTTGCCAGATAAAATACAGAGGGAACACTTTCCCTCCATACACGATTATCGAGGGGGACCCAGGCTGCCTCAATCGCAGCTGCTGCATAACTCGTGCCAGTAACCCTCACGGCTCACACACCTCTCAACTAAACTCAGCCCCTCCTCCTAGTCACAGGCCTGGCATTTGACATTATTAGGGACCTGCCACTCTTTGCCATAAACAGATAAAATGTACCGGGAACTTTCCCCCCACACACTCATCATTCTCTCACTTTATGTAACTTGACAGAACCTATGACCCTTCAGGCTTTTACGCCCTTAATGTACGAGTCATAAAGGCAAGTATGAACTTTTCATACTTCCCTGTTGGGCGCTGTAAACGCTTCTGCGCTTCACCTTGCACAGGATGTAAGGGGGTGCCCAATAAACTAGCCCCTTCCGGGGCAAATCTGAATCTGAACTAAACTCAGCGACCAACTGGAGCCTAACCCGAAACACTAACTAAGCCACTGTGAACCACCACCAAACCAACGAAGCCTCAAAGTTGCACTCGTCCTGAATGTTAATTAGAATAAACGTCTTTTTCCGCACATTCTGAATGATTTAATTGCACCTTAAACCACCTCTCTACTCTATATATTCTGTGCTCGGTTCAAGCTGATGTGAGTCTGCCTATGCGATACAATTACCAGATAATAGAGTATAATTATCAAACAAATATGATTTTACTTCCAAAATTCATGACAGTTGCTTGAATACTGAGTATCACTTGAATTTGTATTCTAATCATTACTGCCTCATCGAAATGAGAGGACTCGACATTATTCTGCTCTGTAAATTGTCTGCGGGGATTCCACTACCAGTAACCCAGAGTAGGAGGTGGGTGTTGGAGGCAAGGAAGGGGAGTCGAGGGTTCTCTCTAGTCCACAAATTTCAAGGCCTTTAAACAATAGCTATATCTCTGCATCATAAATTGCTCATTTGATAAAAATAATAATAATGACACATTTTTTTCACCCATTTTCACCTCACTGTTTGGCAAAACTGAACTGTGGTTTGCTGACTCTATACCAGTGAGATGCCTAACGAACTATTTTTGTTTACGTTAAAATGCACTGTATTACAAAAAAAAATATGTGGTGCCTACTTACTGATTGTTTTTATTGCTAAGTATTCCTTTGAGTAAGATTTTTTTTTCTGATCTGTTCTACTCTGGCTACCACCAGACAATTTTAAACGGCAAGGGGTTAAACAAAACTTTGCTACTTCTACAAGATGTAGATTCAAGCATATCCTTAATTCATTTCAGCATAAATGCCCGCTTTTACAAAGGAACACCTTACTTAGCATATTGTAACTATAGTATTTTCATATGGCTCGGGCTAAGATGATTATACTCAGCTGACGAAACCCCTATTGTCAAAGAGCTACTGCATTCTGGATTGTAATCTCTCCCAAATGATTACACTTTCCCTCCTCACCACCTAGTACACCGTCTCCTCCCTTACAAAAAGAAACCTATCCCGACACACCGCTTCACTCTACCTCCCGTTCACTAGTGAATACTTCAGTTTCACACTTCAGAGATCGGGGTTCACACCGCAGGGAGAGTGGGGGGAATGGCAACGCGAAGTGGTATCCGGAGAAGTGGAGCCAACTGTACACCCACTAAAAAATCTTCGGCACCCGTGTCATATTGTATCACGCCGTAAGGGTGCCGAATAATTTTTAGTGGGCATACAGTACAGTACAGACCGGCCAGAGAGGCCATCCCGATGTGTGGCAATAAGTTGTTCACCCAATAAAAAAATATTCTGCATCCTTAAGGCGTGATACAATATGACACGGGTGCCGAATATTTTTTTAGTGGATGTACATATCTATAGTTCTGTATCTTACAGTTGCTTCTCAAATTTCAATTCAATTTCAAGAATCATCTATCCACACACACAGGCTAAAGTCTGTAAGGAGACAACTCTGAAGGATCAAGGAGAAAGTCAGGTGAAAGACATTAAGAGGACCTTAGATTCAGGACTCTCTATTGGGGTGAGAGACAAGACAACAAAGGTTCTCGTGGGCTTGCGACTCTCGGCAATTTTCCATGTAGATAAGACTTCTACATGCTATGTTGGTGATGAGGTAAGAAAGCAAATTTGAATTATTCCTCCTTTATATGTGGTGGGAGGAGTAGGTAAGGTCCAAGTTAGTTCATCTGCCATCACCAAAAGTATTAACTTTCATACAGACTCAGTTATATGTTTATGGCTAAGAGTTTATCTGTATAGTTAATTTCAAGGTTTGTTCACAAAGTCCTATATGATATATAGTAAAATAATAAGGAACCAAACAATATAAGACAACGTAGAAATAATAATTCAAATATTAACGCATTAGTATCCATATATGATACACCCTCTGTGGCTACCTTTGCTTTTCACTGTATCTGGTTAATCTCCCTTATGTAAATTAAACCTTTTGAAAGGGTTATGAAATAGATACTATTATTCCTAAAAATGGGTTATTCAAATGTGCTTTTTTAACTTTATATGACTTCTTTTACTATTTTCTACCTATAAACACTGGAATATGACATAATTGTATTATAAGCCACTGAACCTTTATCTTCTAGTAACGATTTACACCAGCGGTAAATTTTTCCAAATAAAAATTTATTTCCCTAAGTCGTAGAAACAAAAAAATAAAGGGTTAATCGGGTCGATTATATATATTTTCTAAAATGCAAAGAATTTTTATTAATTATATGCTTGAAATGTAAATATAAATTTGGTTACAGAATGAGCCGAGCAAGACATACCGGGTGCTGGCCCGGTACTCTCCCTTCGGTAAAGAGATTAAGGACCTGGGCGTCACAACAGTCCTCGAATTGTATGCTGTCTGTGTCCATAAAGACTATTGTCGTCGCGGCATCGCTGCCATGATCATCAAGGTTATTGTGCATGTAAACATATCACAGTTATCAAACTAAGAACAAAGCTAAATATTTCCCATGGGCGGCAATAACTACCATCACCTTAACACTTGACATTGGGTTATTTGAACAGTGCCAGTGTTATCTTCTAATATCTCGCCGTATGTTTGAGTATCCTGGTCTACTTCCTTTAATTCTCTTTCCAACACTCCATTGTACTCTATATCAATTTTCTCCAACTTACATAACCAACATACAGTTAAACATATCTCCATAGCTACTACTGTACAAACAAAAACTACAAAAACTGTATAATGGTCCAATTAAGCCTTAAAAAGCAACTGTTTCCTTATTCAAATTAGAAAACAAAGGGATATTACCTCATACAGTATATGGTATACTTGCTCTGTTTCATTAAGACGTCGTTTACTTTCATAAAATAACCAAACTATATTCAACATAGGTTAGGCTAGGTTAGGTTAAATTGGTATGGAAACTATTCATTTATTGTGTGTCGTACGATTTTATACATGCCCTTCCATCTGTTTAGCTTGAATTAAAACAATGGAAATAAAAAAATATTCTCTGAGTTTTACTGACAACTAAGGTTTTTAGTCTGCGTGATACCAAAACCATCTTAATTTATTATGACTACGTGTTTCAGAAAACGCTGGAGCTTGGGGTGGAACGAGGCTGCCAGTTAGCAGCAGTTCAGATCGCTAATAGCTTGTCGGAGAAGATCTACAATCGCTTGAATTTTCAGACAATAAAGATCCTAGACCTAGACACTGTGGCTGATGAATTTGGCCTTGACACCTCGATCATACCTGGGGAAACAATATTGAAGCTAATGGTCAAACGTCTCCCCAGCAAGACGACTTCAAACCCTCCTTAATAAGATGTTTCATACACACACACACACACACACACACTTCAGTTTTTTGTTGAACTGGGTGTTGACAGTGTTGAGAGGATTATTTATGAGTTTAGAATATGTTGTAGTATCACATAACAGGTCATTCATTTTAGAGATGTAGTCATCTTTGTTTAAAATCACTACTGTGTTGGCTTTATCTGCTTTAGTGACATGTAGATCCTTATTTTTCTTAAGGGCTTGGTATGGCAATGGGTAATCCACTCTCACCTGTATTAAGCAACCTATATATGGAATTCTTTGAAAAGAAACTATTAAGTAATATTTTACCACCCTCAGCAGTCTGGTTTAGATATGTTGATGATGTATTATGTCTCTGGCCATGTAATGAGGACCTAAAAGCTTTCCTACCACAACTTAACAACTTAGCCCCCTCGATCAAATTCACTGTGGAATTAGAGCAAGACTGTAAATTGCCATTCCTAGACTGTCTGATACACAGAATAGGTAACACTTTTAAGTTCAGTATTTATAGAAAACCAACTAATGTGTGTTCATACATTCATTATTATTCTGCCCACCATAATAAAGTCAAACAGTCAGTATTTTCAACAATGTTTTTACGTGCCCTGAGAATTTGCAGTCCGGAATTCATCGATGAGGAATATAAATATATATATAATATTGGCTCAAACCTTAAATACCCTAGATCTTTCATAGACAAATGCTTAAACATTACTAAGAAAACTTTTTATAGAACTGACCCCAAGCCCACCCATGACCACAAGAATATCTTAATATTACCACTTCACAAAAATTTCTCACACATTCCTGCACAGCTAAAAACCTGGAACGTCAATGTGGCATTTAAAAACTCATGCACTGTTAAACAAATGTTAATCAAGAACTCCCCCAACAACACAATTGGTTGCATTTATAAAGTTCCTTGCAAGGAATGTAATATGTTTTACTTAGGCCAGACAGGTAAAGATCTTGCAACTAGAATTAAACAACACAAATACAGTGTTAGGACAGGCCAGGAATCCAATGCTCTGTTTGTTCATTTGAGGGATAACAAGCATTGCATTGACTGGGATAATGCCTCCTCAATATTACCATGTAAGTCAATTGACAGTAGGAACATCATAGAATCTAGTCTTATTAAACATACCGAAGCATTCAACATGAATTTGAGTAACGGCATGTACAAGCTGGACAATTTTGTAATTAAGAAGATTTGTGATCAGGTGAGAAGGCCGGGTCACTTGACCATCTGACCTGACCACCAACCGTTGTGTGCTATTTAAAGATTAGTAGGGTCATTACCTAATACCTGACCATTGTGGACCTGGTCTCACCCTCCTCTGTATATATACACCTTGATTTGTATTACTCTCTCTAGTCTGTACTCACCCCTGAAGATGTGAATTACACGAAAGCGCTTGGGAACTTCGTGTTTTCTTCTTTCCTTGTGGTTATCAGCATATACCTAGATCACGCGCACCTACAGTGATTTACTATGTATATATATATATATATATATATATATATATATATATATATATATATATATATATATATATATATATATATATATATATATATATATATATATATATATATATATATATATATATATAATCTTGATAAAATCACACAGGAAAAGGGGAAACAATGGAGCACCTTAACTTTCGTCTTAATTCAAGACATCTGAAGATGTCTTGAATTAAGACGAAAGTTAAGGTGCTCCATTGTTTCCCCTTTTCCTGTGTGATTTTATCAAGATTTTTATTATCTACGTTTTCATTGTGGATATATATATATATATATATATATATATATATATATATATATATATATATATATATATATATATATATATATATATATATATATATATATATATATATAAATATATATATATATATGTATATATATATATATATATATATATATATATATATATATATATATATATTATGATACAACCGCCACAATTGTCATGATCTACCTGCCTACGAACCACGCCATCTATTGTCCTGATCTACCTACCCAGCACCACGAGCAACACCATCTAGGGACAGAAACACGTGTTATGCTCGTCTTAGTTACCACTCGGGTTTCCTTCTCCATATCCTGGTTGTTGCGTCACCTCCTCAAAGTCTTCTTTGTCAGCTCCAATTCGAGGAGAGAGGACTTCACTCTGGGAGTGACCACAGGATCACCTATCCTGAAACCTACGGCACAGTGACTACCTACTAGGGGCAGAAAACACTTTTATTTGAGTTGCAGGCTGCACTTTTCAGGCATCGTTTGTATGGCTGTAACAAACACCTGTGCAAAATTTCATGCCATTTCATGCATACTTACCCTGCCGCATCGCGAACGACTTTTTGTCAACTTTTAGTGTATACCAAAAATTAGGTGTCATTTAATGTTTTCCAGGATAATGATAAATTTTACATGGGTGACATCGATTTAATTCACATGTTATTTTACAGGTACACCGTATAGAAAATCATTACAAGTTCATATTGAAATTCTTTTTTGTGCGGAACCTTGGCATCATTTTCCTAGACAATAATCTTTGCCTAATATATCCATCTCTCGATTCGTATCCCGTCACTTCAGTGCAAGCTTCAGTCATCACTTTTATGCCTCTCTCGACCGCCTGAGTGCTGTTTGGCCACTTGGGCACCACTAATGGTGTCTCAAGAATGTCATTAACCTGTAGATTTGACAGAGAAGCAATGTAAGGAGGCTCAGTCTTGAGTTCATTCCTCCAGTTAATCATGGAATGATAGTTTTTTGCTTGCCACTTTAGTTTCGGAGTCACCACCTTTCTCATGTTGACTACAGGAGGCACATCCTCATTCCCATCTCCATCTTTACCCTCCTCATCAGTATAGTTTAACAAATTCTCGTCAACAGCAGCATCAGAATCTTCCTCCTCCTCTTCAGATCTGCCAGTGCATTCTTCCTTTTGCTGATTCTCCTCTCTAATTATTCTTATCATTGAGACAGCTTTTTCTCTAACAGTCATGTCCTCATCTGCACACATACCAAGAAGAAGTTGATCTGTGTGGGCGAAGTATGCATTTCTCTGGACAGCCTTCTTCACTATCGTCTCCTCCTCACTATTCAGGTGTTTCATATATAGCAGGGACTGGAATACGTTCCTTGAGCCGTGTGTTACGTAAGGGTGTATCTTGATGTAAAACCACATTGGAGCACTGAACTTTATTATTGTAATGACAATTCTTTTCAACTCATGGCTGGGTCTTGATGTTGCTACATACAGCCTGAGGATTCTACTCCATAAGGTGTTCCACCTTGACACACAGGGAGGACCTGGCTCAATAGCAGCCAAGTCATCTTCAACAACACCTGTGATAACTCCTTTACAAATCCTATACAGGTATTTCTGATCCCAGGACAGATCTTTCTCCACTTCATCATTAAACACAGGGAAATCAGGGAAACTGACTGGCTGGAAGGCGACAACTGGAAGCTCAGACAAAGACTCCTTGATCTGCTTTCCAATGGGACCACGCCAATGCTCAGGACCACTTGGTTTACCATCATAGTGATAAAAAACTGCGCGGAAAGGCAGCTCATTTCCGTGAAGCTGACATATGAAATAATGGAGCGGGTGACCAAGTAACATTTCAAGATGATGAATGACTCCATTTTCTGATCCTACATTTACATTGGTTCCATCACAACCAACACACACAATGGGCTGCTGGGTTAGATTTTTCTCCACCAGAAACTCGTGAATAGTTTTGGCAATCTGCTTTCCGTGTCCAGTCTTGGGAGTCACATGTGTGAGATATTCATTGCCAGGCTCAACCATGATGACATAATGATCTTTCACCATCATCCTCGAACTCCATTTCTCGGTCTTCTCATTCTTTATCATCACACGAGTGGCGGTCTTCTTACCATCAAAATAGAGTGACGTCAAATTATCTAAACTAGCCATCTCAATTTCTTGCCTCTTAAATCGGTATTTTTGTCTCGCATCCTGCAGCTTATGTGGTCCAATAACCTGACTCTTGTCATCCTTTGTGATAATGCCATAGTCAGTTAAGGTGGCAGTAGCAATGGCAGCTACTTACCCAGGTCTCCCCTACATTACAGTACAGTAACACAACATTGAGAAATGAAATAAGAAAAGGCTGATAATCAATATAGACATAGCACCATACTCATCTGCAACAAGACAACTTAAATGAAATAAGAGATATGAAAAAAAAGTTGATAAACACTGAACAGAACATTGCACCGCCACAGCGGCTGTTTGGCTAGTACTGTAGGTAAATTTAAAAATTTCAGTAGAAAATGCGGCAGACTAAACCTCGACATATCAGCTTCAAATTTGGCATGGAGTCTTAGATATGTATAAGGAACAATGCCTGAAGAGTGCAGCTTTGAGCAAAATTTCACTGCCCCCTACTACCTACCGTCTTCTACAATACTCAGCCTTACTCGTCAGCCATCTCAGCTCCGCACTTAAGTATTTGTAATCTTGTATTGCCTCCCCCACCTCCACCTTGCTTCAAATTATTGTATGTTGTATAAATATGTATATACTGTTAATGTTTAGGTTAAGTATGGTTAAGGGTAAATTATAGAACGCTGAATATTTTGTTTAGGAATTTATGGTACTTTATTATACACAACAAAACTCGCATCCTTTGTCTACCCTTTTATAGTCCGATTGTCTTTGTTTTGTTTTTTTTTTTGTTACCTGTTGGGATCTGGGTAGACTTTAACTATATTCTAAATCCCAACTCGTAACAATATATATATATATATATATATATATATATATATATATATATATATATATATATATATATATATATATATATATATATATATATATATATATATATATATATATATGTATATATATATATATATATGTATATATATATATATATATATATATATATATATATATATATATATATATATATATATATATATATATATATATATATATATATATATATATATATATATATATATATATATATATATATATATATATATATATAGTTGAACCACCATGGACATAAATATGATAAGGCCCTGT